AAATGAACCTGGGTTGAGCCCGGGCCCACGCCCGCTATCGTGCATCGATTTCCGTGCCATATGTGCGCGTGTGTAACCCTAGAAATATGGGTGTCCTTTCTAGCTAAAGTCGACGTTCCGGACGCGTCGGCGCAATCCGTTTCGTCATCCGGGGTCGTCCGGACGAGTTTGCCGGCGGGCGAGTCAATTTAATCCAAAATTGTGTGTGATGCAACAAGTGCGTTGCTGAGTCACCGAGGGTTAACCTAAGGTCGTTTGATCCTATAGGAACTCATTTTCAGACCCTCTGCATGTTGGTCATTAGCCCTTGCAACTAGAAGTTGAGTGCTTGGGACCATTCGTGCGAGTTCTCACAAAAAATGAGTAAAGAAGCGGTTTGAAGTTCTACGGGAGGTGGGCTCCATTACTAGTCCGCTAGGATTGTCAATAAGAACTCCTAAAGCTAGATCCTAGGTTCTAAGAGTAGGAGACTAAGACCTCACAAAAATGAGGTCAACAATAATATAGGATTGAGGGCTTTAGGCCTATCACGTAAAAACCTCCAAGTAGGAGAAACATTATGGTTATGCTTTACATTCCACAAAAGCAGACCATAGATATCCTTGATAGCCCCATGAAGAAAAGAGTTATGGTCATTTAAGAAATTCCAAGCTAATTGAGCCCTTAAGCGCCCCTTCCAAATCTCAAAAACATAGAACCCGAGCCTCCAAGATGCACCGGTTTACACAGCTTATCCCAAGCAATGTAGTGTAGCATCAATTTGAAAGGATCCTTACGCCATAAAAATTGCTAACATTTTCTTGGAATCTCTTGAGGCACAATACTCTGCACTTCCATATGAGTGAGAAGATACATTGGCATGGCAAGTAACGAAGATTTGATCAAAGTAGCTCGTTCGGCAATGGAAAGATGTCTAATGCCCCAACACATTAAATTTAGCTGCAACTTTAGAAGAAAAATTGCTAAAGTCTCAATTCCAAAGTTTACATAGAGCGAGCCTAATACCAAGATAATCCATCTCCTCGCATAAATTAAAAAAATTAGCAATTCTTCTAGCCTTCCATCCCGAGATAGCCTTACTAAACATAATGGCTGATTTGGATATGTTAATCTTTTGCCTAGTCGAAACACATTAATCTCCCTGCATCAAGTTAAAGGAGTCTGGCTTTATCCAACAAAGCTTCCGCAAAAAGAATAAGGTCATCCACAAAGTGATATTCAGCTCATGAGCCTTGGATTGTAGTTCCACAGATTGTTCAAGGAGGAGACCCACTAGAAAAATCAATTTCTTGAAGTTCATGAATATCCGCCTCCAAGGAAACTTTGAGTTGGTCCAATTCTTTCAATTTATGCTTACTCCCACGCATAATAGACATCAAAATATGCTTGTTTTTCTTCTACAAAATTTTATGATTAGAACCAAAATCCAACTTAACTCATTCCTTTTGGACAATATGTCAAGCAGTCGGCTAAGAGAGCCAAGTATCCTCAAAGCGAGAATGGAAGACTCATTTTACCAATGATGACCTACTCCTCCTTGTAAATAATAATAAAGGAAATAATACCTTTTCTCCAAAGAACAATTAAACCTCTGGAAATCAAAATTCCACTCGGTACCAACCATGGAATCAATATCCTTATGACTAAGGTGTTCAACTCTTGTTTCAACAAGCCCAATAAAAAACAATTTATAAAAACGAATAAGATGCTTCAAATAATTCTCCGTTGCTCTTTTATGAGTACCCCAGCGGATTCTAGAACAGCATGGATGTCATTGATCAACACAAGGGGACGCGACTGCATCGATTATTATATTAGAAGGATTCGTTTGTCTTTTTCTGCCAACATGTTCGGTCGGTCATGGATTGTAAACACACTTATTCAACTGAGTCGTAAAGCGTCTTTCCGCAACATTCCTAACCTTATTTTCTTGCAGTTTCTTGGTCTCTTTATGAAGCAAATCAACCAATTTAGTCACAGAGTAATTCCTGTTCTTAGAGGAAGAGGCACAGGGGTCTTTCTCCATGTGGCTTCAATAGATTTTTATCCGCATCCGAAGTAGAAAGATAAGAAGACTTCCTATTTTCGTTAGCATGAAAAGATTTGGATAGTTTATGACTCTCCTACCCTTTAACGAAAGTTTCCTTCTCTTGCTTGCGCCATCTTCTATAAACCAACGTCCATGGCTCCAAAAGGTCTTCAATGGACGACTCCTTGGTATTAGCCTTGTGATATCCGCTCGTTACCACTTCCCTTAGTAGCAGCCTATTGCCTTGGCCTCTCTTCGTCTGAACTAAGATCAATACCATGAATAGCAGCAACCTCATTCTCCTTCAAATTTTGATCATTACAAGGAGCTTCCACCCCCATCCTGCCATCAAGTTGCACCCTTTGATTATTCAAATCCTTTTCACTTTCAGCACTAAGCTTTTCACCTTGAATAGGGGACATATGGTCCTCTGAGAGATTATAAGCAGCAGCCCTATTAAAATTTCTTTTTCCAACAAGAGAAGAAATCCAAGTGCACAATTTTATTTTATGACCAACTATACCACACTTAAAACAAAGGTGAGAAATACCTTCATATTCAATTTTTTTATAAAACTTACCACCAATCCCATGGATCCAGGCACCAGCAACAAAACTTTTAGAAATATCAATTTGGACACAAATTCTAGCATAATTGTTTCGTCCCCATAAATCTGTTTGAGCATCAATCTATATCAGTTGTCCACCCATCGCAGCTATACGAGAGATATTGGTATTATCCCAACAATATATAAAAAGATGAGGTAAATGAATCCAGATAGCAGTCGAGAAACCACGATGAGAATTTGGAGAAACATTGGGCTTCCACATATCAATCCCAATTATATTACCCGTGACAAACCAGGGACCTCCCAAAAGAAAAGCATTTCTAGCTTCCATATTTTCAAAAAATACAGATAAAACATTTGTTTGAGAACATGACAAGTTTGAAAGAACCAAATTGAGCCTATTTTCAGCTTAATTCATCGTTTAGGGCAGCATAAGGAATGTGCCTTCCAAGAAGCTTTCCTACAATCGCCGTATCAAGTTTTTAATGTTCTGCTAGAAATTATCCATATTTAGCATGATAACTCGGGATAATTCTTCATGTCCTCCAAAGAAGAACACTAGATTATGATTTGACTTCGATCAAGCCCTGTTATTACCAAAAAAAAGGATTTCAGCTAGTCATGAAGGACCTCCCAACAAATTCCTTGTTGTGTTGCTCGGTTGGCAGCCTCTGAGAGGACCAAGAGAGAGATCCCAGCAAGGATATGTCAGTCTTTCTTTGGATACCAGAAAAATCATTGGTATTGATATCATGTAAGTCCGCAATAACTCTTAAATTGTTAAAGAGAGGTTTAGAAAAAAATGAAGAAGCCTTCCCACACCCGCTTGAGGGGCCTTGATCAGCAATACCTGCTTCCTGCATATGAATATCTTATTCATTTCCAACTACCGCGCAAACATCATCAGTTGGGTTACCACAACACAAAATTCTTCATTCTGAAGTTCTTAAATCAACAATTCATACAAAAAAGCCTCCCCCGAATTTCCAAAATTCAAATTACAATCTATAGTAGCGGCCCCCTCCTTCAAGGCCAAAAAATGGTTGGGTAGCATTACAATCAAGAACCTCTAACATAAAACAAGAACTATCCTTCCATCATCAACCTTCACCTAAATAGCTTGCATCTCACTAATACCCGAAGATACCACTTGAACTCAAACTACTAATATGCAAGAAACTCAAACTTTCAATTGGGGTATTGGGGTAGCGACCCAAAACTTCCTGTTTGGTTGTAACTAATATCAGAGACTTATTTTTTGTAATTTCAATCCAAATTTCGGGATGTTGGGAAACCGCCAATTATGAGTTTGATTTTGATTATAAACAAGGGATCTTTACACGGGTATACAATATTCAATAGCTCAATAAAATAGTATATTCATACTCGTGATATTGATGACAATTTTGCAGGGAAAACTTTCTTTTACCATAAAGGTTGGATCTTAGTTGGTGATTTATATCCATGTTATTCTTTATTTACATACTTCACAATCGATTTTTGCACGAGTGACTATGATTTCTAATCAAAATATGCTACAATGTTAATTTTTTATAGCAATGTGAATCCTAGCTATTGCATGGTTTATACCGATCTCAGATTTTGTGTATACTTTTAGTTTTGAGTAATCTTTAAATAATTCTTTGAAACAAATATTGCTTTTTTTCATTGCATTAAAAAGGACAAACTAGACACCTCACTAATAGTTGGTGGACTACAATATTGTCATCTTTTTGTTTGTTCTCATGCATTTCATCATAGATACGCATAATAAAAAACTAGACTCTAAGGCATCTCGTATGACATGACACTGTACTTGATAGGCACTAGAAGAAATTCTAAGGACATTCAATTTTTAGACAGCCGCTTTTTGTAATGAGCATATTGACTGAACAGTAAAAGAAAAAAAATGTAAATTACATGAGCAACTTTTCACAATTGCAGTTACAGTAACAGACAAAAGGAAACTAGTCACTCCTTAAGTTTCATCTAGCTCAAAATTCAGTTTGTAGAATCATTTCATACGATAACTTATCAGGCAAAAGTCATCATTAGTAAGTTTTACCGAGGCATTTACAATTTAATGTGTGATGCATCCAGAGAATCAAAGATCCTTACCTATACTCACTTCAAATAAAAGGACATATGAAAGAGCTTTAACAATTAGTAAGTCAGAAAATGTGAAGAATAAGCTCTAAAACTACAAATAAACTATATATCGCATGGAAAGCTCCAAGCCTCCAGCAGTGACTCCTTTGCTTCATGGCAAGTAAATGCCAAAGAATAATTATGCAAAAAATAAAACCAAAAAAGTAAATCAAAGAAAATGTAATATAATTCAGAAATAAAAAGAATTAGAAACCCAGACTTCAGACTTGAATAAGGCAAAGATGGTAAACAAACCTTGGAGTCAAATTCCAGCCCCGAAATTCCTTCCCTACAAAACAGCAGACTTGTAGTAAGCAACACCTTCAAATGAGAAGGAAAAGGGAGAGACAAAAAACACGGGTGAATAGCAATGACAACTTCCACCCACATGTGTGAAGATATACCGAGCAATCAAAAAGCATGTTGCTAGGATTTTTTTTCTTTTTCTCTTTTGAATAGGTGAGGAATACCATGTCCAAATAATAATTACTGCGCATCACAGTTTTGGAGGATTTCCATCCATGCACAGTACAGTTCCAAAAGTAGGACCATGAAGAGAAAATAGACTTAGTTATGAAATTACATGGCCAGCTTTGGCCAGAAAGACAAGTCACAAAGCGGGTGCATAAAAGCTCATTAAAAGCATTGAGTAGGACAGAAATAAAACATTTAGATTGATCTAACATATAGAATTCAAACATATTTGTCATGTTATCAACTAAAATATCTATAATCCTTAAAATCCCAAGCTTTGGTTATGTACGGTAGTAAAAACATTCTGAAGGAGATGCTTAAGAAAATTACTACTTTCTATCCATACAGTCAGAAAATGGTGAAATTCAGTACTAAACGGGATTTACAAAGAATGCACCCTTATTACCAACCATAGATAAATAAATGGTATACATTTGCACTGGAATGTAAATGAGATCAAACAAACGAAATAGAAAACGAACAGTACATAGAGAGCACATCTAGACCAGCGAGCAACCTCTGGTATGTTTCATCTAAAAATAGGTAAAATCGTTAACCATTTGTGAATTATATAAAGCTCACAGCCCGCATTGAGAGGATGGAATATGGCTCGACAGGAGGATAATAAATCAATGGATAAATTCAACCTAGATATTTTTCCCTCAATAAGACTTAACGTTCTTAATTCAAAGCTCTCAGGGCATAACCCTACATGTCTAATTATTCATCCAAATTTTAAGAAAGACTTCAAAATTATATATGTTGCAAGGCTCTATATTGATTTTATATTTCAGCGGCTTAAATAGAATGATTTTTGAATGCTTAGAGGGGATTGGTTGGAGCGGTGATAAATCCTATCAAGATCCCCTTATTCCACCGTCCGTGATCTAACAATAGAACCTGATCCAAACAATCAAAAACAAAGATATTTTGTTGTTCTTTAACCTGTGAAGCCTTGTTCCCAACCATAGCTTATCTTACCCAAAAGAAAATATAAAATAGAGGTGGAAAACCTGGGAAAAAAACCTAATTTCACAGTATATTTTGGTTAAAAGAGGGCTTTGTAAGTGATGCAGCAAACAAGTTTAGCAAGTCCAACCTAATCAATGGCTTCCGTTAGTCCTTCTAACACAAAGACTTTGAGTGTGATGACTTTGATTTTGCTAATATGGTATTGACTCATTTATGAGTTTTATATTTATATATTGAAATTACATGTATTAGTAACCCCATTAGCATAGAAAATCTTTTTAAGTGTACACACCATGGAATGGACGGGTTTTAGATTTAGAATGCTAGCCTGAGTTGTCTTTTTTGTTTTGTTTTGTTTTTTTCTTTTTTTGTGAATGCCAACAATTACATGGCATATTGAATTCAATTATCTTAAGATGTAAGGCAAAAAAAAAAACATACAATAGGATAACAAATTAAAATCTTTACAGCAATGATAAATACACTGTCATACTGTATACATCATCCTATGATTCTGCACACCTACAAATACACAGAACTGTGGCTTCATAAATATGCCAACAATAGCCGTGGATTCTACTTAAGTTCCTAGAGGAATTAAGTTTCCTGCTGGTGCTTACTAGCACACAAGAATGCCCACAAAGGTTGCTTCAGGATTTTATCAAACAAAAATGCTGAAGTTAAGCAGAAAACAATGCATACGAAACACACACACACAATTAAGCTGGAAAAATCCATCATTTAAAAAAAAACATAGAGCCAGTTATCTATGCAAAGAATTATAACGCTATGTTGAAGGATGAAAAACAATATACTAACCTTATAAAAGGGTTTGGCCTATTTTGGTTTGCAGCACCAATAACTCCAGCAGCCTGAGAGATGCAATAATATTTAAGAAAAAAAAACGGAATGCTATAGCTGCGAAAGAACTAATTAAAAATTGAAAGCCTTAACTACATAGTGGTAATTGGGCATTCACCGCCAACTATACAAAAGCGGAAGTCAATAAATAGCCGTGAAACAAAAAGTCAAAAAGAATACTTACATGCGTCGGACAGTCAGGACGAGGAAAGTAATTATGCCCAAAAGACCTAACCTTTCCACATCCAAAAAAAAAAAAAAATCCATAATTAGGCCTAAGAATGTGAAAAAAAGCAAAAGGCAAATCCAAGTGACGCAATAATTATTCGTAGTTTAGAAGGATGCGGTGAGACCCATGAAAACCCTAATTTTGATTAATGCAAGTATTTTAGGGAAAATAAGGAAAATGATACGAACTTCGGAATACAAATCAAGTAGTAGTTGATAAGATTCGCGCCGGAAGTTAGAAGAAATTCTACCATCCAGTTCAAGGGTACTTCTCTTCCATCCAGGCCTGGAAGATAATGAAACCAACTGAAGAAGCAAGCCCGATGCATCCGGTTTTCTAATGTCTTGTTGATATCATAGTAACTTACCAGCAAAAAGACCTAGAGTTTTCTCCAGAAGAAACAGGGATGGTGAATCTCTGCATCAGCGGATATCTTGGGGTAGAACGCCAAAAACCAGTATAGTTTGGCCGGCAAAAACCATAAGAAAGCACAAGATGGCGAGGGTGAGGAACAAAGAGTATTTTCTCTAATTCTCAGAAAATAAGAAAACCTCATTAGGCCTGCTGCTGTTCTCCATCGTCATTTTCGTGCGGCCCTGTCCGACCTATCGGCATGACGAGATACGCCATAATGACATCCGGTTTATGTAATCTAATTAATTTTCCTCTCTACCAGGTTGCTTAGAGACGGCCCAGTTTTTTCCCGCCACTGCAAGATCCGAACTCCCTCGAAGTTTTCCCCAGGTCAAAAAGGCAGATGTCACACGTAGGTGAGCGCACTCAGGAGAAGCCGATGGAAGTAAGCCCTTTATACTCTTATATTATTTGAAAAAGAGGTACATATTTTGATGTTTAAGAGTACTAAATGTGTAACATTTCCCTTATGAAATAAAAATAAACTAAAAAATCTCATATTTCAACCTTTAAGTCTCTTAGTTAAAATATTAGTTTAATATTCTATATTAAAATATAATCAATGAAATTAATTAAATTTAACTATTTTTTTATTTATATTTATGCTGATTAATAATTAAGCATTAATTAAACTAATAAACCATTGATGATAATTGTATTAATTTAATTATATTAAATAATGATTTACCATGTGTTTATTAATACTTAATTGTTTATTTGTTAAAATAATTAATATTTTTATAAATTTTAATAAATAATTTATTTTATTAATTAATTATTAAATAGTTACATATATTTTCTAATTTTAAATTAGGCACAATCAAGTAATAAAAATAATACTAATATGCATAGAATCCAATTCAAGTGAAAAAGAAATTTAAGTCATACTCCTAACGAATGCACGAGACACAAGTTTCATTATAAAATCCAAAATAAATAAAATTAGTATGATCTAACTAATGTTCTTCACCCGATTAAACGAAGTTATAACATCTTCTTTGAATCTTTACCTATTTTGAATATAATAATTATAAGACGCACGCATAATGTGATTAAAGGTTGTGATAATTCTCCGACAACTCCCTTCATATATTATCTTCTTCCTTAGCCTGTGACTCCAAGAGTAGATCATTTGTGGAGGAGAGAACCCTCTTTAATTCAAATTGTTTTCTTCTACAGCCACGGATCATCATGCAATCCCACCACACCCACTTAAAGCACTATAACTCTAAGAGTTGGTTTGAAGATGACAACTCTTCTATGAAGTGTCAAAGTCTCCCTCACTCAATGTCTGCATTGTTATTTCTCTTATAGGTGGCACATATAATAAGGTGTGGCGCTTTTGCACCACTAAAAGCGGCACCTGGGTTTTTGACTTTCTGTTTCGCATGAGAGAGAGGAAAAAATCTACAATGTACCCATGCCTTTATTGACATAGCTAAGCTATTATTGTCGTACATATGCATAAAATGGTGTTGTTATGCCGGTTTGGATTTTGGGACCTCCAAATGCAACTGAGTTCCTTTTAAACCCCATAACTTGCAAATAACATAGAAAATACATAAAAAAGTATAAATAAGGTACAAGTGATAACAATAATAATAATAATAATAATATAAAAAATAAAAAAATATATATTTCACACGATTTTACATGCATCAAGTTCCCCCACAGTTGCATATTATTTGCCTTCAAATAATTTCAAAATCTAAGAATACAATTTAATAGAAATTAGAGAAGATTAAATATGAAAAAACTCATAATTTTTAATAATTTAGTAATTATTTAATTTAAAGTGCATATGTCTCTCTTATAGATAGAATTCTCATAGCAACCTCTTATGTCTTTGATTAATTAACTCTAACTAATAATAAATCTATATAATTTTTTTAAATTCCTCATGTGAGATCTAAATTCCATGAAATTACTGATTCACACAAGAAATTTAGTTAGTTGCACACTTAAACAATACTAACTCTTATTGTTATGTTTAATACAGATTTTCAATGTTAAGTTAATGAAACTTTTAATCCTTTGACTTATTAGATATGTTTATCAGCACTAAATTTTTAAACGAGCTTAACAAAAAGCTTATCCTCCTATGTTAAAAAAAATGTTTTCATTTAAGACATTAACCATTTTTTTTATTTATCTTTTGTTTTTTTTTCCTGGAGGATTATTATATATGATTAAGCTTACCTTAATAAGTTTCAATACTGAGCCAATTCCAAATCAAATATTTAATTACTTCCATTTTTTCCTAAGAAATTATAATTCAACGAATACTAACTAAGAATTAAATCTCTTAAGTGAGTTGTGACTATGTTCTATAATGATGAGATATTAATTTTATAAATATTCATTGCTCACTTAAGAGTTTATGAAAATTACATAAATTAGTGATATTAAAATTAGAAATTAAGCTCTAGTGGGTTTCTAATCCTATTCACACCCTTCAAAATTTATTTTTAGTGAAATTTAACTCTCTAACTATTATTGAAAGTAATTGTCACCCTTATTTACCCTACAACATATATATACTCTAAAGTTACATATTTACTTTAACTTAAAGGGTAATATAAACTCATTTACATCTCCCAAACTTATTTTCGACACTATACATATAAATGCAATATATTAGAGAGATGAGCACAGTAAAATAGAACATATATATACAACAAAATGAAATAAAATATATTATGTATTAGAAAAAATAACACTTGTGAATATGTAAACATCGATAAATATAAATATGTCTGTACAGGTTCAAGATCCATTTCATAAGCAAGTCAAAAATCAACATCAAGCTCCAAGACTATGCAAGAGGTGGGTATCTCCGTAGAATCTAACAAGCAAAATGATAAACAAGCTTACTCCAAAGCAATTAAAGAGAAATTGGGTGCTCCCAATAAGTGCTTCCTTAGTCTGTCCCAGTTACCAGTGTGCATAAAAAAGTAGAGTAAATCATGCAATCTCACAACAAAATAACACTTGAGTTGTCTGTCAAACAGCGCTTGGTTTTATGTCATCAGCTAGACAATGTCAAATTAAGTCTTAAGATTTTTCTCCATGATCAAATATCTTGTTTATCTTTGGTCTATTATCCAATATTTGAAATTCCTTGGAGAATCTCCTAAAAATTATGCTATGATCCTATATTTATGTTTTTTTCAAGTACAAATTTTTTTTTCCTGCATATCATTTAAAATTTCTTGTAATATTTTTATTTCCATTCTCGAACATTGGTTGGGGATATAAGTAGGGGTGATATGAGATTATGAATTTGAAAAGTTAATATTTTATTTTGTGGTCTAATAATTAATTATTATTTTTTTGTAAGTCAATATTTGCCCTGACGGTTACAAGAAATTGTCAGCTAAAAATATTTGGGATCTCAACATCTTCCTTCATATCCAACATAATGAAATAAATATGGAAGATGATTTTATTTATTTTCATTTGAATATTTTCTATAACCTCCTAGGAAAAGTTAAAAAATGATAGCAAATTGAATGGTCACAATTGTAGGTTGAAGCTTTTAAAGTTCTAGTCTTTCAAACACTGAAAAAGACATTAGATTTATGCTAGCTCCTATGTCACAAAATGTCTTTAACATAAATTGGTCTTCTATAGTGCATGAAATAATAAAACTACTGAAATATTTCAATTTTTATGTGAGTTTTCTTTAAATAATAACACTAAATTTTTTAGTTAATGTGGCAGCTTCAAAATTCAAAAATTTTCCTTTCTTGTTAAAAAAATCTGTCATAGATTTCTTAGAAATGAGCATTTATTCAAATGTTTTAGTGAATTGAATGTTAATAATGAGCTTCTTAAATATTTCAAAAATTTTAAAGAATTATTGATTCAATTTATATTCAATTAACCTTCGACGAATATGTATTGGTAGTCTCTCATGTTTTATCCAACGTAGTGAAGATATTTTTCTTAAATTTGGGGTAAATTTTACTATAAGTCTATCAGACATAGACCCGAGGTCCTCTATTCAAAGTTTCTTCACTCTATACTCATCAAGCACCTTCTTACCCAAAAGTCTTATGGCGTTGCAATACTTTATATTACTGTCCATTGGTTTCAACTTTGGATTGTTAAGTAATCGCTCTTGAGGTCTCTGAATTAATGAGTTAGTTATTTTCCCAAGTTATATTTTAATGTTCATAATAGTTGTAGCATGACTTTGTAGTTGATTCCTCGTTTTCAACGCAGCTTCTTACAAAGATAATTTTTTCCCTAAGTTGGGAATTAGAAGTGAATACAACATGGCATGTAAGTCTTGGGTTACCACTATCATTGTTATTCTAATTACATACAAAGTTAGACTGGTTACAACTTGTTAATCTCATTTTTACACGAGGTTTATCTTGTTCCATTATATTTATAGAACTTAGGATCTAGCCTTAGAATTTTCTTAATAGTTTTCCAGGAGGACTTATGATGGAACCTAGCACCAAGCTAGAATTTCAAAGTAAAGCATCACTCCTTATAGTTTCATGTCTTTGACATAAAATCCTTAACACTTTTTTAAGTTCTTTGAGGTCAAATCATTTAAGGTCAAGTTGAGTCCTTATAGATTTAGAGCTGCCCTATGCTCCTCTATGGTCATAGAGTCTTGAGTCTTTTGTTTTGATCGTTCTTTGAGCACATTACAATTCCTTTTCATAATTCCTTAGATGATTGTCTTTGGTTCATAGGGAGCACGTGGATATGACATTCATTCTGAGCTAAGATGGGATTTTTCCTTTAATAAAAGAGAAATAAAAACTAATTCAATAATAAAATTAAATTTAAAACCAAATAAAACTAAACCCATAAAAAATTCATTAAAATCATAAAAAAAATCACGATTAAAATCAATTGAAACCAAATTCATCCCAAATTTCAAAAATAAAGTTTCAAAATTAGTAAAAAAATAAATAATAAAAATTTAAAATTTTAAAAAACCATCAATATTTTAAATTATCTTAAAAATGACAAAAGTTAATAATAAACACAAAATAAAAATAAATCCAGTAAAAAATAAATCAAAATCAATTATATCACAAAAAATGAGTATAAAATATGAGTCTAAAAATGCATTTTTTTTTTGTATCAGAAACCAATGCACTTTTTGAATTTTTATTAAAAAATAATTGGATCATTGAGACGAGAGGCCAACCACCCATCAAATTTTACAATCATCATCCATCCAAGCCATCGTCGTCACCGCTGCCGCCGACCACTCTATTTTTATTTTGAGTGTTAGTTTGTATTGTAAGTGAAGGAAGAGAATTCAAAGGAACTTCAAAACATTTAATAGAGAAGATTTGAGATAAGTGTTTATCTTTGTGACTAGACTTGGT